ATTGCGTAGGGAGAAAGTTAGATGTGATATTTTATATACGCGGAAAATTCCACATATGTATCAAATGTGCTGTTTGGAATAAAGCTATTACTATTATTATGACGTTTAGTATGAGTTTAGTATCATTTGTAATACGGTTTTATTCCTGTTCTAGTAACGGTTATTACAACTACTGTGACATGAGCTACTGATGACTTATCAGTAGTATATCAAGAGACTTTCACCATCACATAAAAATATCAAGTAAAGGAGAGGTAGATTTGATGACAAAGAGGGAGGAAATGATCCAATATTGCGACAAAACATGGCAGACACGAAAAGAAGACACATTACACTGTTTAAGGCTTTGCTTTTTCCGTCTTTCCGGATAATATTTCCCCTCCCCCCGGGGAGTCCTGTTTTGCCACATTCAAAGCACTTGTCTCCATTGACGCTCATTTTTAGCACTCCTACTTCAAGCTGCAAATCTGCGATTTCATGTTTCTACTGGTCTGTTTTTGGTGACTCTATTGAGGCTAGTGTTGTGCTAAACAGCTGTCTGGTCACCTTGCCTAGCTCGCTATTATCCATAGGTTGTGCAGTGCTAACCAATTGTATTTGCTGAGAAATGTTCTGTTTCTGGAACACTGTCGATGAACTGGGAAGCCAAAAACTGCATTTCCAACTCCTCATTCAATGTGTGGGATGCATGACGTAGTAGATTTCTCAGCTTCACTGCCAGCCCTATCAGGTTCGAGTTTCGTGGCATGGAACTGTTTTATTGCTAGCTGCCTGTCCACCACGCTGTTGAACTCCGCCACCAGTCATTCAACCAGTACTTTCCAGGTTCTTTTATCTCCTGACCACTCTACATAGTTATACGCCACCTTTTCTTGACCTCTCAGTGGCGTTCCCAGCTTAACAGCCTTCGCTTTCGGACCCTTGACGCCCTCCAACTCAGAAACAGCATCGAAATCCTGCAGGGGTCTCCATATGCCTCCTTCTACGAAAATAGCCGGTCATGTGATCTTCATTGTCTGGAGGCAGAGATACCAAATGTAATGGCAGAAGACAAGAAACTTGGTATCGGAATATTTATTATATATATATATATATACATATATATATATAGGGAAATTATGTATGCAACATATTAAATTCATCATTTGTACAGATCTTCCGTGGTGTCCTACTACTTCTGCTCTTCGCATTATGTTTCTTTGTCTTCTTTTCGTGTCTGCGATGTTTTCCCGCAATACTGCTTCATTTCCTACCTCTCTGATTTCAAATCCATCTTTCCACTGTTTGATATTTTTGTGTGGTGATGAACGTCTCTTAATATATTACTGGCAAAATTGATCAGTAACACACGCCACACCACTACAACTATCAATAAAACGACTGGGTTTGGATGGACGAGTGAGGTCGACTTAAGATCCCATAGGGTTCTAGACCCACTCCATATAGTATCAAATACACTATTAGGAGTAAAGCTATTATTATTAACACTACTACTACTACTGGAGCTATATTCTGTCAGTAGTATGTGAACTGCTTACCGATAAGTCCGCTGAGCAGTGTAATTTAATGCTGGAGTAGAATTTGAACATTATGTTGAAGTATGATTTCTTATTATATAACATTATCTGACATATAATATACGATTTATATTACAAACAGTAATACAAACGAATACTCTGTCTGAAAACCTACTAAAGTTTGTGCTTCTTTATGAACAAACTTATTTACCTTAGATGCTTGCAGATCACGATTACAGAAAACAATAAACTAATAAAATCACCTGACCTTATTAACCTTGATAATACATGTCCAGTATCATTTATCAACAAATTACATTATAAAGACAAGTTGATTTCAGTGGTGCCAGTGGTAGAATGCTTGCCGATCATGCATGTGGCCTGGGTTTCGATCCCCTGCCACCAACGCACTCCTTCACCTCTCTAAGCCAATAATATGACTAGTAACGAGAGAAGGTTCGGCATGAGGCTAGCAACCCCATCCCGTAAAAATGAACACCACTGCTACTGAAACTTCCAGCCTCCAGTTCTAAGCCCTATAGTCCACTGGGAACGTAAAAGAATATATATATATATAATGGATTGAGTTATATGGCCAAATTCGTTGAAACCTTATCCATAAAAATGCCTCAACTTCTTTTATATGTTCGGAAACTATTTGTTATTAGTTTCAACCTGCCCTAGTAATCCTATTTTAAATCTAAGGTTAATTTTATCCATTATTATTTTCATCCTCTATTATCTTACCTCTTATCAGTGATCTTGATCCGTAAACATCTTGACCTACATTGGTTGAATTTTAACCCTTTATACTCTATCACCTTTTATATAAATATGCGTGAGTGACAAGTATACGTGTAACCAGTATATTTGAAATATGTTGCGCAAATGTATTACACATTCCAGATAAAGTGCGCATTCTTATTGTTTTTGTAGAAATTCATGAATTAAGACAAAACACGTAGTTCGGCCAACAGGCTCGTTTTGGCGAATTCACTCTCCTCTTTAGCTGGACAGTCGCATTTGTATACAGTCTGCTTTTCATGAAAGAGGGTGCTAACAAAAGTGATGAAGTGTTATGATCATAGTTGTCAATATTGGTCAATGTATACGGCGAGTTGAATAGGTGCATCGGAGTTACGTAATAAAGTGAACAGTTTAATAAATGAGTTGTAATCAGGATGCACATAGAAAAGACGGAGAATATGAAGTCCCTTAATAGTTATATAACGATATAATGGTGCTAAGGAGTTAGAAAACACAAACAAGCAAAAGTCAATTCAGTAGAATTCAACAAAATTGTTACCATTATCGCAGAAGTGGCTGAATAATTTACTTTGGCATGTATAGCTCTGGTTTACCTAAATGAATGTCTAAAGCTTCAGAAATGTAAATAAGACAAAAGCGTATTGTCTGTCTTTGGCAGGTTGTTCTTCATTTGGTAGATTACTTTGAAGGAGGAAGAGGAGCTTTTTAAGGTGGAATGACCAGTGTTGTTGACAAGATGTTCGATTATCATACTTCTTACAGAGCCACAACTATCTTTCTACAACCTTTCGGAATACTGTTCTTGAACCCTTTTAGATACACTGCACTGTGATGTTGAATTATACAGTAGACATGACGTATTTCAAGCAGATATTTCTGTTCAGTACTTGACAATAATAAAGGCAATAACTTCATCTAGAGATGCACTGAAGTTTATTTTTCACTATGCAAGTCAAGGCTACAGAATACATTCCTAACAATCTGTAAGAACAAATAAAATCACCTGATTCCATTAACCCCGAAAATAGATGGCCAGTGTCGTTTATAGCAAAGCATATCATAGAGATGGGTCATAAAGTTGATATCAACAGTACCTTCAAATAGAGACTTACAAAAGGATTGAGTCATATACTTGCATTCGTATAAGCCTTAGGCATAAAAATGCTTAAAATAGTTTCAATCCATCTGAGTTATCGAATTTTAGAACCAAGGTTCACTTTACTTGATAATATTTTTACACCCCCTATATTTTTACCTCGTTTTACTACCTTTTATCTGTGATCTTGACCCCTAAATATTGTGATCTGTATTCATTCAATTTTTACCCTATATATCCTGTTCATTTTTGCATAAATATTCATAACAATTAAGCATGTGATCGGAATCTCCAAAATTTGTTGAACCAACACATAACGCCATTTCAGACAATCGACGTCTTCTTATTGTTTTACTGAACTTCGTAAAGTTAAATAATTGTTTTAAACGCTGATTTCAATATGTTTGATGTCGGCGGTTTGCTTAAATTACTGGGCTACCAAAATTACTTTCCGCCAAAATGCTTAATTTCATCTGGATTTATCATTGTTTTAATCGTCTGGTTATATCAAATTGTAACGACAGAAAACAAGGGCAAGGCAATAGATCCTTTATCGAGAAAATCAACAGATATTTATAGATTTTTATGTACATTATTATTAGCGTTATTGTTAGCAGAAAAGCAGTGTCTTTTGATTGGTTGTTTTCTTGCTCAAGGTTATCATGTACTGCTTGTGGCCCCTTCTCAGAAAGTTAAGCCATATGTCTGCGAATCGTGTTTGCACACGTTAAGTCTGCTGTGATTGGTTGATGAGTTCCTCAAGGTTAAGCTTTGTTATTGTTTTTTCTCATGACCCCGATTCGGGATGTAAACATTGACGTAAATTGTTGTCTACAATTTTGGCTAGCAGACAGCTGTCACCACAAAATGACCTACACATGAATTGGCTGGCTGATTTAACTTGTTTCTAAGTAAACGCACTGCAATTCTTCAACGAAATGAAGGTATACTTCAGATTATTACTTTACATGTAAATCCTCTTTGATGAAAAAAGTATTTTGGAACTAAATACTCTGAAAATGTTTGTACTGTATGTTCGCACATTTTGTGAAATAAAGACTTATTATTATGTTACTATTATTACTACAATTATAGGGTAAGAATTCAATATATGTGTAAAACTTGGGCACTGTGGTAGTAAGTAATTCCATATTAGTTTGTTTATTAGGTATATCACACAGTGAAACAGTATTATTTACTGGATGACGTTTCGAACAAAATTTATTGTTCATAATCATATCAATTATAATCACACGACTTTGACACTTGAGTTTTATAGTTTTCTTTGTTCTCTCCTATTTGTCGTTGGGGTAGTAGAGTTTTCCACATATCCGGGACAGGTTTTGAATCATTCCTATTACACGTGTTTTCATTCAGTTGATTCGATAAACAAAGCTTCTGTTATCAATCTCTCCCTATACCCTGTGACATTAGATTTTAAAACTGTCATCCTATCCCATCCTATTGTATGGTTACCAAATGTCACCAAATTAGATTCTACTTCGTCAGAGTCATCGTCAGAAACTTTTTGTCGCCATTACCGAGTATTAAATCCAAAGTGAATATGCTCTTTTGTGTAACTAAATAATCTAACTCCGATCTTTTTTTCCTTGATTTAGATACCCATCGACTTGGATGCGAATGATAATCTAACTGATTGGAATTTAAACTCTACTGAAGACACAACAAGTAAGTTAAGCAGAAAAATGTTTGTATATGTGTATGCATTTTATGATGATGTCGCTATGGGAAGTCCGTTGAGACCACTTTTAGCAGATATCTATATGTCGTATATTGAAAGATTATTGGAAGACTTAATCGAAAATGCGTCACTTTATAGAAGGTATGTAGACGACATTGTAATCATAAGTGATAAGCCTTGTTCTGCCAACTTAATTTTAAGTCGAATGAATAAAGTCCAAAATAGCATATCACTTACATCTGTAGAAGAGGAAGATAATGTTTTATCTTTCCTAGACATATTGCTTAGTCCACAGTCTGATGGATCAATAAAACTATCTGTTTGTAGAAACCCTACGTGGACAGGACATTATCTTAATTAACACAGTTTCTGCCCTCTTTGGTATAAAAGAGACTTAGTAAGGTGCTTCTTCAGTAGAATCCAACGAATAGGCACTGAAGACACACTTGATGAGGAAGAAAGAAAACTGACACGAATTCTGGTTAATAATAATTATCCAGACAAATTTATTAGGAACAGTTAAGATCATAATAACTGAGAATGTGAAGCCAATATATCCACCGTCTAAGCCCTCTGAACATGCGAAAAATGATGTCACATCCCACTATATTTACCAATTTGAATGTACATGTGGAAACATATACATAGGGAGGATTCATTGACCTCTACAAGTAAGAGTTTCAGAGCATGTTCCCAAATGACTTCAGAAGCAAATAGAATCCCCACAACCCATTAATGGTGAGAACAGGAGACCTAACTCCTCTATTGAGAAACATATTATGGAGACAGGATATAAAATTGGTGTTTACACGTTTTTTAAACCTAAGTATTGGACGTGTTTGAGGCGTATCCCAAAGTTTGTGGAAACCCTAGCGGTTAGGAAGTTTAAACCACCTTTATGAGTTCAAAAACAATTCATCATAACACTAAACCTTCCTTGGTAAACGTTGTTTTGATACCAGGGTAGATGTACTATTACCTCTGTTATTTGGTTTAGTGATCTTCATTGTTGTTTTGACCTTCAATATGTCCTTTGAACTTGACCTAAGGCTATTTTCCCACCTCTTAACTCTTTATTAATTTCATATATATTCCTATGACAAAGTCCGTGTGTGATCAGTTTGTTCGAAATGTGTTGCGCAGATACAACATCACACGATTTAGACAAATCACGTATTCTTATTGCTTTGTCTAAATGAATAATTTAATTTCTTATGAATAATTTCAAGTGGATATGCTCACGTCACTACTTCAGAAAGTTTAGGAGGAAGGAAGGATACCTACAGATTGGAAGAAAAGTTAAATTGTCAGACTATTGAAGAACGGCGATTTAAGCCTCCACGAGAAGTGGCGCTGGATCCAGGTCAAGTAAAATACTAAGCTGCGTCATCCCGGAGAGAATAAAATGTACTCTAGTTGGAGAACTCCTATCCGGAACAAGCTGGACCCAGGAAGAACAAATCGTGTGCTAATCAAATTTCAGCTACAACTCATCATCGAACAAAGTATAGAATGTCAGTCAAACCTCTGTCTCATCCTTGTCGATTTTGAAAAGGCCTTCCAGAGCGTTAACTGTGAAGTGATTTGCAAACTAAGTAAAAACTACGGGGTGCCTCAAACCTCCATCAACCTCATTCAACAGTTGCATAAAAACGACCTACAAGAGAAAACTCAGTGAAGCTTTTAAAGGGAATGCAAGAGTAAGTAAGGACTGTCTGTTCGCGGTTACTGTCAACCGGATTATGCACACTGTAGGTGGGGAAAGGGTAAACAGCAATGCGTTGGACAGACAAGGAGACTGTAGGACATCTGGATTTCGCGAATGACTTCAGTAAATGTCACGAAAACCAGAAAACTTAAAGGCGAAAGCCAACAAGTTGGGAGAAGAAGTAAAGAAGACAGGACCTCAAGTAAAAGTAGACGAGACAGAGGGGACGAAGATACCTACCGATCGACAACAATAACAACAAGCACTATTTAGTGACAGCAAAAGAAATTTGAAAAAGGTTACTTCCTTCACTTATCTGACAAGGCAATATCTTCTCAGCGATGGGTGACAGCTCAGATTGAAAGTGTAAGACAAACCTTCTTCACTCTAAATTCAATTTAGAAATCCTCTGCACTCATCCTGTGGAACATGATTCAGATTTTCGACATTAATATCAAGTCATTTCTTCTACACTGGTCAGAAACTTAATGATGATGATAATAATAATAGTAAAGCTTTCCGAATCCCTATTTACTCTTTTACAGAGAAACAACAGATTGAGCGAAGAAATATGCATTCCTTTTCAGTTAGTTCCTCATCATCGGCTCTACAGTGATATATAGTTTTTTACATCAAAATTGTTTTTGCTAATCAAGTGGTCGTTTTAGTTACAGGGTGGTGAAATTAAGAGGTTGAAAGTCATCAAAACAATTAACTAATAGATGTTTGGTAGCAAGATACCTAAGTTTTGAAGGAGGGGTAGGACTTTACTACAGAATTCAAGATAACTTAGTTCTAAGGAGTTGGCAACAAGTTGCTGCATAATCAAGAAATCTGTAAAATAGTGGCGATGAGTGAGAAGAATAGGATGACTCAAAAGAATTAAGCAAAATACAAACAAGTTGATAGAATTTTCAAGTATTGGTTTTGTAGGGATTTTGTTTGATTGGATGGAGGATTTCATCATGAGCTGAGTTCCGTTAGAAAACCACTGGAAAACCTGGGAGTACCGGACAGCTGTTTAGTCCCGGTTTGGGAATCTTCATCAGTACGCATCCACCCACTAAAGGAGTTCGAACACAGGACCTTCTGGTTACAAGGCGAGCTCGTAGACCATTGAGCCACTAGGACCCAATCCAATGGTCCTTCAATTCTAACTTCTGCCAATTCACAACATAGCGCGACCACTTCGCAATGCCTTTTTCTATGAGTTACTGCCTCACCTACAACCTGCTGTACCGTACTGGTCACGGCTTCCCACTAGAATTATCTAGAATTGTTAGAGTAACGAAGTCAAAAGATATTTACAAAGAAAGGCGAAAATTCACTTTCAAAAACTTATTACAAATTATTTAGTTTGCTATGACATAGGAAAGGGTTGCATAAACTTCCTTTGAACACATAGATTTGGCTTTTTCAGTGCATCGTTATTCCCAGCATTAATTTACTGTAGTATATATTTTTTCACACATGGTTAAAAGTTTTGTCTTTCTTATCTGACTACTTATTAGTAGGCAATGTGTTTTCAGTGAATAATCTCTACTTGTCAATCTTAACCGGATTGTTTTTACTTATGTTTTGCTTTCCCATCATCATTTTTCAGACGTCAATTCGGTAGAAAATCACCATCATACATCCACTCCTGCAGACTCATTGTCTGATGTGCTTTCAGGTCAATTTTTCGATTTGGAAATCAAAAATACTTGCAGCATTCCTATAAGTTTAAATGATTTGATCAAAGCTTGGTTATGTATGTGGCATAATGGTCTATTTCCAAATCCTGAACAGATCGATCTAAATCTGGATACAAGACAACGACCTCCTCTGAAATGGTGTCTCACTATAGCTAATATCTGGAGTGATTTATTTCTACGACGTGTAGCTGTATTCGCTATGGCATTACTCGGGGATCTTGTACAAGAAGAAAATAAGGCGAAACGATCACTGAGTGATAAGTTCAACGAATCGGTTGTATACACTGGAAGTAATGGTCATATCAGTGAAATTCGAGGCTTCGGTGCTACTTATCAGGATGAAACAGACTCTGGTGTAAAAGAGGGAGATATGAATGGTTTACCAAGTGATTCAAACGAGCCACTATTAACATGGGATGATATGTTATGGATAGCAAAAGTAAGTTAAGAAAATATTCTTCTGATATTATGATATAAAAATAACCTTCTCTGAGTGTTAATTGATTGAAGGCAGTCATCACGATGCCTTCGACCTGGTTTCCATGCTTGCTGATACTGGTAAATAATGCGTTTCCCCTCTTAGATCATAACCGGCGTCACTCAGTGCTATGATCAGAGGTGTTACCACCAGGGGGAGTAATCGATTTCATGTTTCTTACCCTTTGCATTGTTTCTAAATTAATGCTTCTACTCAGGATTTCAGTGTTAAGTGGAAAGTGTTCCTCTGTCTTGGTACTTATAAATGGAAGATCAGTATCACTAGAGGCTTAAAAATCGTGTTCTTTCTCTGAAATTGAAAATTGTATCACACAATTATGGTCGTACTTAGGAGCTCACTGAAACCAGATAGGACTCAATTCTTGTAAGACAAAGAGATGTTTTGCACAAACCATTTGAACGGCGTTTGATGCAATTATTAAGACAACTTAGAAATAATTGTTTGGCTAGAATTAACACTGTGGAATACTGACTGTTGGTTATGACCACAGACGGGTTAGTGTGGCTTTCAGAAGTACAAGGATATGACTCATTCATTTGGTAACTTGGTATAGGTGTAAGGATCATATCCCACGTGTTATGGTTTGAATGGAGGAAACCAATCTATTCGTTCTAGTGAATGAATAGCTAGCCTGAACGTTGAGTTACGCGCAGCCACAGAATGTCCCAAAGACAGCGAAAACACAGTTAGTCGAGATAAAATCTACGGTGCTATTTAACAGCAATGCCATTAGGCAGCTATACAAACAAAATAACTTTCTAAATGCAAAGAAAGTACCATAGAACAAAATTATTTAACCAAATCAACTGTAGGAAGTCAGGAGTCAGGGATAAGATTAAATTTTTACAACCAAAATGAACTGGTTGTGATCCGAGCGCAGGAAACAGATCTTTGCCTGCTACTGTATAACTGACAAAACTTTCCGGATGCTGTCGCAGTCAGGAAATGCTCCAAAGACAGCTGAAAGATGATTATTCTTCGATAAATCTGTGGTTCTCAACAGTGACGTTAGGCAGCTATACATACGGTCCAGCTGATTTGCAAAGTACAAAAGAAGTACACAGAATCAAGTAGAATATTCCCAACAAGGTTGAGATCAAAACTTTGTCCACAAGAATCACATGCCAGCAATCTCCACAGACAGTCGAAGGTCAGAATGACACACATTATCAATGTCATCACTTGACCACGAAGAGAATTTCTTCAAATTAGAGACTGAACAGGAACAAAGACAAATAATAAGAATCAATCAAGTCAACACATGCCATGCAAACGTCAGAATAATGGTATATACCCTAGGAGAAAGGGGAGACATCCAAATGAGTATGAATATTGTACTTAGATCGTTTGGGGGGAAGGATTTTCCAAATGATTATTCCGTTACAGAAATGTTTATTCTTGTTTGCTGAACTTATAAAGTTAGTAGGAAATAGTATTAAATGTTAGCCGATCGAAGTGAATGCTATGTACAAAACCTGAACCAGTCATTGCAAAACTGCCTAACTCAATCGAGTTTATTCGTTACCATGTAATGATTTGTAAGTTACGCCCACCGAGATGCTTTGACCTCGGTATAAATAAGGCACAATGCTACAGCCTTTCACCTACTCGTGGATGTCATCAACCTATCTTACTAAGATTCAGTTTGTTTGCGTTCTCACAGTACAGCAGAGTTGTCAGTGAATGTCATGAATGTAGAGTTGTTCTTACTTTCGACTGTAAGTTTTGCCCCATATGTATTCTAGCCATGAATACATAGGCTTATGGGATAGTAATAAATTATTGAAGAGTTTCAAACGGGCGTACAACACATATTCAATGCTTGTTGGTTGAATATAACACCACGTATGTACATTCCACCTAAAGGGCGGTGTAAAATACACGGAGATATAGTGTATTCCCCCATAGAATTCGCAGGTGAATATCTTATTATCTGGTCCATAGACAACAAACTGCCTTCTATCTATGAGTTCGGAACAACTGTTCTATCCGACTGCTTTGTGTATTTTTATTTTTTTAATTCTTAACTAAATGCTGATTGATGAATTTTTCGTTTTTTTCTCAGAATCGATTTACTGACTGTGTTCCCGTTCTACTCATCAGTTGTTCTCCTCCTTCTTCTCCGTCTCCTCTGCTTACCTCTTCTCATTGCAATGGAAATTCTACTCATATGCCTGAATCAAATCTATCAACAGAACAATCTTTCAATGGCAATAAATTAATTGATGACAATGCGGATAAACAGTCCCCTTTAGTGTCGACAACATCAGCATCTAATCATTCAACAGTCAATGTTCAATATTCAATTCCATCTTCTGATACATCACCACAACGACGACGACAACAACAGCAACCACATCTAAAGAATAAACACAATACAACGGTGGTATATTTCCAAACAAAAGTAGATCGCATCCATTTGTTAGATTTGACAAAATTAAGTAACGCTTTAGGTGAATTAGGCACTGAATATTCACCGCATATCATTAACAACCATAGTAATAATAATAATAATCCTATGAATAAAAATGGTCCCAATGATGTATCATTAAAGAGTGTTAATCATAACAAACAAATCGCTTATCCAATATTAAAATATCTTGACGCTTACATATCTCAACTGGGAAACTTTCTTGCCCATCATCCAGTTCTATTCAGTGCGTATATGGCGTTAAAATTAACTGATCCAACACTTGTGAAGGATGAAGAAATTTATAATCAAATTCTTGAAGAGGAGAATACTGAAGAAGAAAGGATACAACTGCCACCGCAACAGCAACAACAACAACACCAGAAAATGAAAAGCCTTCGAACTAATCGAAGTCAACGTCTTCACCGATTGCATACACATTTTCTAAAAATTTTCAATGAAGCGGTTGATTATGTCGCCTTAGAGGCTAGCCAATTAAAAACTGGTCTACAAATGAATAAATTCGACAAGAATTGTTTAACATCATCACAAGAGAAAGTTGCCGCAAATTCACGACGTATTATGCTACCAGAATTTTTAAACTGGAGTCGTGAATTCGATGCTACATGGCATAGTTTTCAAGCAGATATTTGGCGTCAAGCAACAGATCATAATCTACGCTTTGCATGTAAGAAAAGTGAGTATAAAATATCAAAAGGTTTAAATGCTTTGTTCGATAAACAATTGAAATTCTATGATGATGGTGAGAATGATTTAGTCCATATACTATGGGATGCAAAAAGTGAACAATCCTCGGATACGCAAGCCTATTGAAGTAGAAAAGGAACTACTCAGCGACAATTATAGATCAGTTGAGAACAGCTCACACCATTATCATAATGGATACTTTTACATCGTGGAAGTCATACATAACTATGAATCTTTCAAGCATTGACTTCCTCTCTATTTATCGGTTTCCAATAACAACCAACACAGATGCAGTGCAAATATGACATTTCTGTACATATTTCCTACTCTTATGTACAGCCAAATGTTCACCTAACCAAAACCCAATAAAACTAACTATTAGACGAATGAAAATTTATTGGTGTCACTATTTATTTTGTTGGATGCTTCACTAAAATTATGAAATCTTGTAATCTTTTCATCAAGCGAAAAGCAGAAAAAATTATTTTTCTGGCCTTTCTTTGTTTATTCATATAAGGTATGTAAGAAATTTTTTGTGTTTTTGGTTTTTATGCTTCACACCATGAATAATTATTCCATTGTCAATTAAGTGTAAATTACTGAACATTGAATCTTGTTGTTCAAGGGGTTCAATGTGTCGTCCCTTCTTCTCTCCCTTGTTTCGTTTTGCCTTTCTGATAATCTTGTACATTTGAAATTCAATTTGGGTGTATATGGTTTGTATTTGATTTTTTGTATTTGAAACGCCTTTAGAATGAATATTTGTCATTATTTTTCAAGGGATTCAATACACACTGACGTGCCTTTATTCAGTAAAACATAAAAAATCCATGTTCCTTACATAGGTGGTCAAAAAAGAAATTAAATATGGTGGCCTTATCATAAGCTGAGACTGATACAATATATATGTCTCAACTTTGCCTTTAGTGCCTGGAAATATCTTCGTTTTTGTCAGCTTCCCTCTCGTGTTGTGCCTTTGTCTTTTTGTCTTTTTCTTACTTTTCATTGGTTGGTGTAGGGGGAAATTTCGCTGTTGTCATTACGCAATTATTAAGTATCTGAATTTGTTTTATGTTTAAGAGTATCTTCATAAGTTGCCTCATTATTGAAATTTTGAATCATTTTCAAGGTTAGGATATATTCAAACAACTTTACAAAGCATCCTTTCAGATGTTAAATATTCAATTCTAAAAATTACAATGATCTGGAGGATGCAGAGTCGAATATTTCCCTTCAAATCAGTATTCTAAGCTTATCTATCATAGGTTTACTTGATATTGCAGTAATTCTTCTCTTCTCCCTCTCTGATTGGGACTCTATTACCTCCATAGTTGCAACGGGTACACCTGTTGCAAAACCAAGTGCCTACCTTCATCACTATCATGAGTGTATATCACATAATGTTCTAAGGTATTTTGTTTTGCCGTCTTTCTGCTAAGACAAATCAAACTGGTTAATTGTATACATTTTGCATTTTCATACAATATTATTATTCTGTTTGTATTGTTTAAATCAGTCGCCTCTTGTGTCTTCCTTCTATCTACCCAGCCTTCCTTCCTCCTCGTCGTCGTCTCGTTTTCTTTCATTTTGGTAATAATAATGTTAATTATTAGATTCCTTCTTAGTGCCTCTCTTTTCGAATTATTTTTGAATAAGTTTCTTCTCTTTGGATGAATATTTATTTTCCTGTTTTCGCTGTTCAACAGTTCTATTTATGCATCAGTTGCGTATCATGAAAACTGCTTTAACCATTGAAACAATGAAACAGTTTTTTGAATAGTTGTCATTTTGACAATCTACACTGATGTCTTTAGCCATCAATGTGTCTATTCGAGTTAATATTTCTTTGTGTAACTTACCTATTATGAAGCAGATCACTTCCTCTTGATGTTATCACGTTTATTCTCTTCAGGTGATGGATAGCTCAAATCATTTTCTCAGACTGGATCTTTCTACTATTTTCCAATTTCTAATGAATTATATTTTGCTGACGAACTTTCTTGGTTATCTTATAATTATAATAACAATAAAAATAATTAATGTGTATAAATTACAGTGAGACAATAAAATAATTGTATGGAATAAAAAAAATGTTTGTGATAAAAATGTATTCAAATTTTTGAAAATTATTGTATATGTGACACTAAAGATATAAGTTAGATGGACCATCAACTAATTACCTAGTTAATGTATCTATGTGCAAGAGAATCAGTTCAAGTCATCACATTTAACGTGAAATTGTCATGATATGTGCGTCGGCGGCATAGCGGTTAGGACTCTCGCCGACCATGCACATGGTCCGGGGTTCGATCCCCTGCCGGCGCACACCCGACATCAATGGTCGGCCTGTAAATTTGGGCTACCGATATCCATGCTGAAAATTCCATACTTGTACTGAAAATACGGTGTGGAATCAAGCTGTAATCAAAATAAAATAAAATAAATAATAAATGGTTTTAGGGGAAGATTTAACTGATGTAATATTGTGATTTCATAGACATAACTCAGGCTCATACGTGAAAGTTATTATCCTGGAATAAGGACAAGTTGTTCAGAAGGTAAGGAGGACACTATTTTTCAGTTTATTTGTGTATATGCTATTGTGCATCGAGTTGCACTGAGTTCTTAGTGCAACTGTATGTAACTGCATTTACATAAAGTGAAACATTACGAATGCTCCCGTTCCTAGAATAAAATACATTATTATTATAATCATTAAGTTTAGTATTGAAGAATGGAATTTCTTCAACGTCAATGTTATTTAATTGAAGTTGTAATCTGTGAAGGCCCTTAAAGGAATAAATTCGGCATGGAGAACTCCTATGTAAATCAAAAGTACTTTAAGTTTACTAAATCTTACTGACTTCCTGTATAAATTTGATATTTGTCAAGTGTTTATTTAAAATCTGCTGGAGTATTCAGTAAAGTAAAAGTTGTAGTGCATATATGTACTTCTTCCATTTTCAGACAAAAAAATTCTCAAAGTAATTCATGGTTGCGCGCAGTGCACTAATAGTGTATTCATTACTATAATTATCCTGCATAACTGCGAGGCTTCTGTTCAGTTGCCGGCGAAGTTGCAGTATCTCCCTGCAGGGTTTCTTTACTGAACTTTCACACGGCACACTACTTGGTAGTAACGGATCCCACCAAAACCATTTGCAACACAGTCGAAGTGCTTTGTCAACTAAAAGTATTAATTTAAATACTATTTGACATTATATCATACTTGATCGTGCCTGTAAAAATGGCATGCATTTTCATGTAAATTTATGTTTATATGAAAATATAAATTATTATTATTAAGAGTTTGATTTACCTGTAAACTGAGGAATTTGAGTGTGGCACAGCAGCATATGCCGGCAAGGTATTCTTTGTTCCCTAAGAATTCTGCAGGTACAATTTGAATTGGTATAATTCGCTTGGCGCAGGTAGACGTCGTCGGTTATGATAGCCATATCATCAGTATACAACTCTATGCTCGTTCGACGATTACGGCCATAGTCCTTGGCAATTAACTTAGCGGCATAAGGAGTGAAGTTTGGTAATAATGGCATAACTGGTTCTGGTGCGCGGTATTTACGAATCCGACAACTTTCGACGATGGCTTCAACACTCCGACGCTTCTCTGCGCGTACACACCACTTTTACGTCTTGTACATACATACGTGTAGGGGACCTCTTCTGTGGAGATATCGTTTTAGGTGACTGTGAGAGCTTTCAACTCTATTGTTGGTACTATTAAACAGCATTAGAGTATTCGGCATACATGCCACAGCCCACGTCTCTTTCTTAGGCACCCAGTAATGCCTGACATAATTCCATACCCTCCGATCAACCGTCCTAATGACGCTAAGGTAGTGAAGAAATCTAAATGGTTAGTAATCAATGCATTTTCTGATGTCCACTGATATAGGAAGGGCAGGGTGGTTTCCATTGTCTCCAGGTGCCAATGCGTTCATTGGGTATCACTGTAAATGAAAACAGAAGCTTTTGAATTAAAAATTCACGAATCGCCTACAGAATACAATAAGCAACTTGAAAGTGCACTTTCAATGACATTGACTTGGAAACTGTAGCGGAATTCCTTACCACAATTACCGTTTTGGAAAGTTCTTGATTATAGCCACAAACATTTACTGAAACACTCGTGAACGACAAATATGGACACAGGTGATAAAACGAAGCTCTGCAGAAATCACTGAGACGCCACAAACAGGAGTTGACACCAAGGATTTTAGGTGCACCCTATAATTTTTACATGAAACACATTCTCAACCATCCTCCTGCACGACAAATGCCTTCAGGCTTAGAGACGGCTTTTGATGACTATTCCTAACAAAATCAACACAATTCAAGCCAAATAAAGACCAGAATCACGTCAAATGCAGCTGCCTAGATCAAATGAAACAAATCAGCCAAACTCAAATTAACTAGACTGCGCAAATATCCTCAAGGTAAAGCTGGAGGCGCCACTTCAAACAGGGGATATGCCATATTAACGCCCTAGCTATTCCCTTTTGTTCCAGGTGGAAAATACTGTTTCAGCAGAAAATCTTAACTCTGTCCCGTTCCTCGCAGTCCTCTTTGGCTGACTTAGTGCTTGTCCATAACCTGTGACCTACTTCTCACACGGTCTCCTCCGTGTCATCTTTGTACGCACGCCCAACTCTTTGTTCCCCATTCGGGTTCCGCTCAGCCAGTGGCTTGGTGCGTGGTGTCAGCTTACAGTCTCCTCATCATATGTCCCATCCAACTCCATTTTCTTTGGTATATTTGTTGAGCAATAGGTTCTTGGTAGATTTTTCACAGGGTTTCTTACTGATCAATTTTCGGCCGGCTATCTGATATTCAGCATGGAGCAAGCAAAGTTAGCTGTTGATGAAACACTCCACCAAGCTTTTGGAAATGCTTTACGTTATGTACACGGGACTTTTCTGACCCATTTAGAATATGAAGGTAATATTAATGTCAAACATAAGTGTCCGGAAAATAATAATATAGGACAGTGAATTTGAAAAATGAATCATTCTGGATCATATTGTAAATTGTCGCCGAGCTTCGGTAAGGAGAATCCTTCAAGGGGCACAAGTGATGTAATTTACTCCTACTGTTGTGACCCATAC